TATTGTAATTTGTTATTGGTATTGTTTTTGGAATTGGTAAGTGGTATTTAGTGTTTAAATTGTGTTAGTACACTTGCTTAGTAAACTCTTCGGTTAAACACAAATATTAAAAACAGTAATGTGCACAATATCAAATAAATACAATGCCAAAATTAAAGCAAAAGTACATATCTATCGATTGCATTTATCACCTCATAACTAGCCTTATTCAGCAATTTGATTTTAGTCAGTCATATCATTGATTCTTTTTAAATAATACAAAATACAAGAGTCAGAATGCAACCTTATAGCTTAATTTAAAAACTTGATTATAAAATTAGTCATGCTTATGTTCTTTAAAATTTCCAGAAAGTGAAAAATGGTTTTACTTTAAAAAATGCCTTACTTTAAAAAATAAAAACAAAAACAAATCCGGAGAGTAACCTCAAGTCCCAAATTTCTTGTCTGTTTAATTTTTAAGACAAATTAGAAAGGAGGGACGGGCATAAGTAAAGATTTTGTCTTCAAATAGTTTCTGTGGAAAATATCAACAACTTAAACATTTAAGAAGTGATTAACTACGTGCAAAGGGATTAAAAACAATATCTTAAGTATGTGTGTCCCCAAATATACGTATTTCTGATTTAGACTTTTAAGCTGTCAATATGGGAGAGACAATGCCATTGACGTGGACCTGGCACTAGTCCTTCCAGCTAATTTCTTCCCTGGAGAATGGTTTTGGGCGACAGAGTGGCGTCCGGTCTTCCCAGGTTGTTGCATTGACAAACTGCAGCGGTGGTAAAGTCAAGGAGCCTGACAAAATCTCATTAATCATTTTAAATTAAATCCAACCTTCCTGTCCAACCATGCCAAGAATAAAGCCTTTTTTTTTTTTTCTAACAAAAATTTCCTCAGTAAAGATTTGGTATCTTTCTCTTGTTGGTCTTTAATTTGATTAGACAAAAATAAAACAAAACAATCCACTTTTCTAAGCTTGAAAACAAAACATTTGTCCAGATATGATTTAACAGATCAACCAAGTGTCTTTTAAAAATAAAACACATTTTTAACAAAAATACATGGAAACATTCTGAGGGAACATTGTATTAGGTAAATTAGGGATATTGTTTATTTTTATTTTCTGAATACTTTGATGAGTTTTTTTCTATCTAAAATGTATGATCCTTAATAAGATTAAGGAGGAAATAAGGAAAAAAATCCATTATCCATAGTATTTATTTTATTCCAGTCTCTATTTATAGGCTTTTGCTTTATTTTACATAGTAATGTGTGTGCATATACATATGTACAATATACATATATGTACAATTTTACATACTTCTAAATATTTAGCATAAGTAGTTTCCCAGGCTACCCATAAACATCGTTGCTTCCAAATAATACATCATGCCGGTGTATTTTAGTCTTCTTGACCAGTGCTTGGCATAGTGTCTGGTACACAGTATGTACTCAAATATTCATTGGCTATTTGTTAGAATTCCAGTGTTTTCATTTCCACCCCCCCCCCTTTAAAAACAATGATGCGATTAAGGATGTGCATATTGCCTTTTCCCTATTTTGGATTATTTTCTTAAGGCGGCTTCCTAGAAGACAACGTATTCACTTAAGAATGCTTGAAAAGAAACTGTAGGCAGTTGTGTTACTAATAGTAATATATAAGAAAAAGTTCACTTTAGACACAGGAAAACACATTTCAATTAGAATAAACAGGCTGTTACTTTAAATATTAAGACTTCTCATATTCAGATGGCTGGTAATAAAGAAAAAAAATAAAAAATAATAAAAAAAGAAAAAAAAAAGAAAAAGACTTCTCAATACGCTTACTCTCATTGAGCACCATATTCATAATATTGTCAAAATTGTAAAAGACTAACAGAACAAGATCAATGATGAACTCTTATTAAAGTTTAAGAAAAGGTAGACAATCTTAAAGTAGGCGTGATTGATCCATATATTTAAAATTAGAAGTCCCAGAGGGATGAGTTTATGTCTAGAATAATACATAGGCTGAATTTGTCTTTGTATTTTTAAAAAGCTAACTAATATATTCTGATTTCTAAATTGTGTACACTGAAAGGTCTAGACATATTTTTTTAAGGGGGAAATAGTACAGCCGTCTTTCTATATGCTTATATAGAAACTGAACCAGAGCTAAAAGAATTCAATTGGATTCATTGAGAAAGTGCTCTCGGCTAATGTGTTAGGTAGTGAGGGAAATATAAAAATAAAATTTCTACCTGCAAAAATTGAGAAAGTTGTCCTGAAGGTGAAAGAATCTGAGAGAATTTGGAAGGACAAATAACATTCAAAAGGTAAACATGGGCGACAGTTAATAGCATTTCAGAAGAGAAAACAAAGCAAATGAATGGAAGTATGAAAATATAGGGTTCATCAAGATTAGAGAGTGTTCGTTTTAACAGAATGTACTCAGGAAAAATGCTGCTGATGACATATTTGGAGGGAGTTCTAAAATTTGTTAAGCATTTTCCCCCTTTCCTTTCTTTTCTTTCTGCTTTCCTCCTTCCTTCATTTCCGTCTTTCTTTCTTCTTGTCACTTCTTCTTTATCTTTCAAATTGTGACCTATGTCTTAGAGAACATAACTGGTGACTGTGTATAGGAAAGATTCACTAGCAGTGCCCAGTTGGTATTGTAAGTTCTGGGCTTGAAACAGTACAGCCCTTACTGGAGAAAGAGGGTCTACACAGGCCTGAGTTGCAGTGAACCGTAAGTACTTTTGTGGGTTTCAGTGGAGCTCAGATTACGTATCAGGTAAGAGAGTATTTATCTAGTGACAGTATAAAGCCATTACCAGTACTGTGATTTTCTACCCTCAAAGAATTCAGTCTCAAGTGGAAAAGGTTGACTCAAAAAGGCGAGTACAGTTGGGAAAAACTACTTACTTGGTTTTCAGCAAACATAAAGTTCAGCTTCCTTCTTGAAATTCTTCCTTAGCTCTTTGGATACCATTCTTCTCTGATCCTTCTACAGTTCTGATGAACACTCTTTTTCTGACTTTTCTCTATCCAGCCTTAAAATGCTGATTCCTGATTACTTCTTATATAACTTACTCCCTTGAGGATTTATCTTTTTCCATGTTATTAGTGTTACATACTTTACAAACCAATACGACCCAACACCAACTTACATATCTAGCTCCCATTTTTTCCAACTCTAGTCCTATTCTCTCACTATAGTCAATCAATGGTCTAATAACACTTTCAAGTTACAAAACTTGGAATTATTATCTTTTCCATTTCATTTCACTGGTTGCTTCTCCTAGTAACTACTTTTGATAACAGAACAACTAGACCCTTGAACCTTTCTGCAAAGTCACCAAATCCTATCAATCTCCAGAGTTTTTAAAATGCCTTCCTCCCCTCCAAGCCCTCTGCCACTTCCCTAGTTCAGGTCTTACAACAGAACATAACAGGCTGGAAGTATTAATAATCCTCAATGAAGGAACTAGACATGTAGAAAATTACAGTGTAATTATTAAAGCAAAGATCTGCACAAAGTGCTATGGTTTACAGAGGAAGACACAATGAACACAAGTGGTATGTATGATGGAAGTAGTCTTTGAGAGCTTTTATATAGAAATTACATTTGAGATGGATCTTAGATGATTAGTAGGGGAACTTTGGATCCAGAGGGGGAAAAGGGTATCAGAAGAAGAAAGGAAGCTTGTAAAAGGCAAAGAAAGACCTGACCACAGTTGAGGAAGGTTGTAGGAGATGAAGCTTTAAAGATAAGGTGAGGCCATTTTGTGAAAGGTCTTATATATCATGCTAAGGAGGCTACAGTTATTTTGTAGGACAAGGGAAACACTGAAACACTTTAAATAGATTGTCATCAGGAGATTTATGTTTTAGAAAGATGAAATTGTTAAATCTGAAAGAAGATGCAATAGTTCTCAATGTCAGGTGACTTGTCTCCCCCGCAGGCACTTGGAAATATGTGGGGACCATATTTTCATGTCATAATAACCGGAGGATCCTACTGGCACCTAGCAGGCAAAATCCAGGCTATGCTGCGCGGTGGTGCAGTCTCCCACAGTGAATAATATCCTTCCCCCCAAGGGCAGTAGGACCCCCACTGAGAAACACTGAATTGCTAATTTACTAAACATTTAGTAAATGTTTATTATTAAGGTTTTACATAGATGCAACATGGTAAAAATTCGTAGTCACCTAGTTTTAAAATTAACCAGGAACAAACATCTACTCAGTAATCATAGGAGGTAGTATTAATATAATAAAAAAGAATACTACCTTACTGGAGAGGGATCCACTTCAAGTGTTAGCCAAGTACTTCTTTCAGACCAAACCCTTGCCAACAGATAAAACTACAAACTCTGGAAAAAATATAAAAATCAGCCATTTGAAAATAATGGAAAGCAACCAAAAGCAGGCTGACACTACAGAGGAGAGAACACTTGGAAGATTGGAGTATCATTGGGTGAGTTTCCTGCTTTTATAGCTCTTAGTCTACGGGTAATACCCACTCTGCATCATGTGGAGCCTATAGATTTTAAAATTTAATTGAATTTTATTTTCTTATTTCAAAGTATTACAGGGGTACAAATATTTTTAGTTACATGGATCACTTTTGTAATGCTTGAGTCAGGGTTAAAAATGTGTCCATCACTCAGATAGTGTTCATTGTACCCATTAGGTAGGTTTCCATACATCCCCTCCTCCCTGCTTGAATTCCATTGAGTTTTGCTGGCTTGAAGAACCACAGGACAGAGTTTGGGGCAATGATGGAAAATTCAGACTGAAATCCTGATAAGGAAAGAACCAGAGAGAGAGCCCCAAATACTTGTGACCAGTCTCCTGAAGCTTGTTTATACAGAAAAGATTTTAAGCACAGCAGGCAGGTTAAAGACTGAACTGAATGAAATCTGACCTGCCACCAACTGCAGGGTGAAACGAAGCTTGCAATTAGGAGTTCAGCCAAGCTAACTGCCTGCTTTAAAAAAAAAAGTCTTTGTAGAAACATATCAGAACTCAGGGTTTCCACATCATTTTATTTGCCATGTTAAGGACACAATCTTAATTACTCAACATATGAAGAAACAGGAAAACCAACTCTCAAAAGACTGACATTGAGATGATCTAGAATACTGAAATGAACAGACAAGTATTTTAAAGCAGCTATTATAACTATCCTCAAGGACATAAGGAAATATGTGCTTGTAATGGATGAAAAGATATGAATTTTCAGCACAGGAATATAAATGATAAAAAGTAAATGGAATTTCTACAATTAAAAAACACAGTAATTGAAAGGAAAAAGTTCACTGAATTGGCTTAAGAGAATTATTACAGAAGAGTCAGTGAATTGGAACACAGATCAAGAGAAAAAAATCCAATTAAAGAAAAAACAGAGAAAACGATTTAAAAAAATCTATAGAGCCTCAAAAACCTGTGAGACAATACCAAAATGTCTAGCATATGTATAAATGCAGTCCCAAAAGGAAAGAGAAAATGAAGCTGAAAAAAATATCTGATGGAAAAAAAGCACTCAGAGGAAAGTGACATTATACAAAGGAAAAACAATTTGGACTCTACTGGCTTCTCACTGGAAACAATGGAGGTAAGGAGACAGCATCTTTAAATGCTGTGCTGAGAATTCCCAAAGGGGGGGAAATGTTAACCCAGAATTATATATTCAGAAAAAATATTTCTTCGAAAGGAAAACAAAACAAAAACATTTTCAGATAAAACTATGATGATTTCCAGCAGACCTGACCTATAGATGCTAAACAAAAAGTCTTGCAGTTTGAAAGAGATGATACTATAAGGAAACTTGGATTTTCAGGAATATGAGCCTCAGAATGATAATCTGGGTGAATATAAAATATTTTTTCTTAATTTATTTTCCTGTTCAAAGAAAAATATTATAGAGTTTATAACTGATGTCATATGCAATATATATAATAGCTATAAGATAACAGATGGTGGGTAGGGTAAAGGGGCCTATATGGTTATAAGGTTTCTATGTTTTATGAGAAGTGGTACAACATTAACTGTAAATAGGCTGTGTACAGTTGTAAACTTTGATATGGGTTTGGTCTGCACAGGTATATGCACTTGTGAAGACTCACTGATTAGTAGACATAAGATTTATGAGTTTCACTGAATGTAAATTTTACCTTAAAGAAAAAAAAACCCTAAAAAAAACCCCTGATCTCTAATTAATATGAAAGCTTAAGTCTTTACTTACTTAAGGAAGTATACTAATGTAACTTACTAGTAACTAGTATACTTACTTAAGGAAGTATACTAATGTAACTTACTAGTAACTTACTAGTAACTAGTATACTTACTTAAGGAAGTATACTAATGTCTGGAACTTATCTTGACTTGTAGCAAAATAATAAGATAGGTTGATTGATAAAGGGATCAATAAATATGTGATATTTAAAAATACAGTAAAATACAGTAAAAAATTGTAATTGCAGAACCTAGGTAGTGAGTATACAGACATTTTCTATAAAATATTTCAGCTTTTCTATATGTTTGAAAATTTCCATAAGAAAATGTTAGAAAAAAGAATGTTGCCAATCTACAGTTATTATCAGGTCAAGGGGAAAAATAAAACAGTAAAAAGGAAAAGTATTTTGAAAATCAAGGATGCAAAAAAAAAAAAGGAAAAGAGATAGACAAGCTAAGACAGAGAGGCAGAGAGAAAGTGATGGTAAGAGAGAGAGGTCTGGAAAAAAACAAAGAAAAGACTGAAGGAGGTAGACAGAGAAGGCAAGGTGCCAATTGCTGGAAAATAGTATCAATAGTAAATACGTTATCACCACCCTTTATCTTGTAAAATTTAATAAATTAGTTTTAAAGCTAAAAATTAGAAAGAATTATTTTGTCATGGCATTTGAAATTACACACATAAAAATTATTTAGATATTTGCTTCAGAATCTTAGAAGTTATTTAGTATCAGTCTAAAAGTCTCCTTGACATTGAAAAATTGTTTGATTATTTTATGCCTTGCCCTAGAAAAAATCTGTAGCACATCATTCCAGTTGTAATATTAACAACCACTGTTGACTTAGGGTGAGATCTGGAAGGAAGCCAGGATTCCACACCTCTAGTGAGGAGTTTCTACTCCCCCCAGTGACCTTCCCCTAAACTATTAATAGCTGCTCTACCCATCACATACTGTCATCTTCCAAAGCTTATGCTTTTACCTAGAGGTAAACTTTTAACTCATCGTATAAATACATGGTTCTCTATCATTCCAATGCTGTATATTTTAATTAGTAATTGTCAATTAAGATATACTTCATATATTTGCTTTCCATTAAGTAGTATTTTTCCTTTCATTACCCAGGCATGTATCATCTGTGAAGGCAAGAGTCCACGTCCGGTACCTAGCACAGTGCTTAGTGCATGGAAGGCCCTTGACAAATATTTACTATCTGAATAAATAAAGAGTGTTACTATCATTCACAATATCCCCTTCTCAGTGGATTATGAACAGAGCTCATCAAGGTTAGGAAAATGGTAAAGTTTGACTAATCCCATCAGATATAAGGAAGCAAAAATTTATCAGAGTGACAATAATATTTTATTTTGTTCTTATGAGTGTAAATCTTAAATTTTGACCTTTTAAAAAAATCCTAAATGGTTTATTGGACTTGAGACTTACCTAACCCAGAAGTTTTAAAAATGAAAAATCAAGTGATATATTTATATTATAAAATAAGTGATGGTTTTGCATAGTAATATAACAAATCAAGACTCTTGGTTTCTATCTGAAGTCAGATCCAACTTTTATGAAGATAATAATCTCAGATCAGAATCAAATAAATTTCAGAACTCAGTTTGAGAGAAAAGGAAAAACTTTAGTTAGAACCATTACAATAAAATAATTATGAGTATAAATCTCTTTAGTTAAATATGTACACATTACATGGTATTTTTAAAAAGAATGAAAATGGGTAAAGTTTTTCAGGCAAATCTAATGCACAAATACACCACCTTTTAGAGTATAATTCAGTTTAACATTCCTTAACAGTTGTGTCAGACAGTGGCTCTGCTTTGTGCAAAACATGATAGGCAAAATAAGGAAAAATTCTGCAAAATTATTTAGTTCCCCAAGAAAATTACTAAAAAAGAAAATAGCAAAAGAAAAATGTGTTGTACACTCAAGCTTGATTGTATACACAGTCTAGAATGACCAGCACTGATGTAACCTTCATATTTGATAAATAAGTCCTTGGTCAGCATTAGTCTAAAGTCAAAAGTTGAAGTCTTAGCAATTGTGCTTTTATGCAGCCACATGGCCAATAAGGTAGATGTTGTCATAAAGGTGCCCTACAAAATCTTCACTAATGTTTTGAGCAGCGCGACGGGTATTTCGAATAAATTCTCTTTTTGACATTTTATTCTTCACATGAGGGCTACTGAGGTCAATGGAAAGTAGAATCAAAGAGTAGCACAGTACATAAACAGCATCTGAAAGGAAAAAAAAAAAACACTTCAAATTATTAGCTGGTTTAAAAAATATGATTCCAAAGGTATATAAGGCAAAAATGTTTACAATTTCAAAAGATCAGGATTAGCTAATAACTAAACATAGTATGATCAACTTGTCCCTCTTTGGGCTTTTCCTAGCTTAGCATAGAAAGTCTGGCATCCTGGGAAACTCCTGAGTCTCAGGCAAACTGAGACGGATGCCACCCTAACTGAATACCAATTCAACATGTATTTTCTTCAATTCTAAGGAACTTTAGAATAATTTATGGCTTCATATTATAGTAAAAATTCATTCCAGATTTAAATTTCAGAATGAATTTGCTTTATTTTCATCTTTCCTTTCAACTGTGATATTTTTATTCAACTATCCATAAAAATACATTGGTATTGTCAGCATATTTATCTCCCCATTCTAAAAAAAAAGGCAACATATTTATTTACATAGAATGCTTTTACAAATAATTTAATTTGTAAGCATCTTAAATGAAAGGAAAACATATTAACTTGGTACTAGAAAATAAAATATAGGCTGGGCCACAGTAGCTTATGACTGTAATCCTAGCACTCTGGGAAGCCAAGGCAGAAGTTTGAGGTTGCAGTGAGCTGTGATGATGCCACTGCACTCTAGCCGAGGCAACAGAGCAAGATCCTTCTCAAAAAAAAAAAAAAAGAAAGAAAAAAGAAAAAAAAAGATTAAAAAAATATAGACAAATAACTCGAAAGATTAAATTGATATTCTCATTTGAGATATATATTTTAAAGGTCCATGGAATTTATATATTAATTTCAAAAGTAAAGCTTTAGGGAGAAAACTATTATACCTCAGCACCATGTGACAAAATTTTATATATGCTCAGGATACTATTTCATGTTTAATATTAACACATGTCATGATACTTTACTACCATGGTACTTATATTTCAGAATCCTGCAGTTTTAAGAAAGCTAAATTAAGCATTATATCTTATAAAGCATGCTCAACAAATTTCATACGATTGGTAAATGTTTTGTAATCTCTGCTTAGTAAGATAAGCACAATAAAACTTTTGATATGAAGAGGTAAGTAAAGCTGTATCAAAAAAATGTGAAGTACGAAGGAGGCTCAGGCTATATAACACACATAAATACACAGATATATATGCACACAATGAAAATAAGTTGTATTAAAAACAAATTTTAGTAGAAAAATAGTGTTACCTATGCAACTCATGGATTAAAATCCTTAAAAGTAATCTAAGTTTTCAATTAGACTAGTAAAAATATCCAATACTCAAACAAGCGTAATTTTAAAGAATTTATGTAGCGAAGTCTAACTTGCTTCCTAAAACAGTATATTCATTATATATATAAAATAGCTATGACAAACTAAAGTATTACTTCTAATCTCACATAAAGGATGTCCTGCTATAAGCAGTAAAATTAGTATTTGTAATTATTGGGAACATTTTTACCCACAGTCAGAAAGATATGTCATATACTACTGTTTTTACCTGGAGGTGGGGCAGGGAGAGGAAATAATGTACTATACATATTCTTACCAGGACTAAGGCCAAGTTCTCGCATTAAATCAGGGTTACAAGCACAGAATCTATGTGAGAACTTAGTTATAAGAGTTTCAAGATACTCCCCACGCTCTTCAGGGGCATGGATATGACGAAAAAATTCTCTCAGTGCATTTGGCAAGAACTGATTTCTAAAATTATGCAGTGTTACAAGGTCATCCAAGACATCTCTCCTGTAGGATGAAAAAAAGGCACAGCTTTAGTCAAATTTTCTCTATGAGAAAAAAGTGGTAAGAAAAATCAAATATTGTCATTTTTAGATACAAATACTTTATTACTGATTACCAGATCAGCTAATCCTATAAAAGTATAATTTTTAAAATTAAAAAAAATCTAAGTATGATCATTTAAGAAATTAAACAATTTTGAAATCTTTCATGAATAGGTTACAACAAAATAAAACAAGGTAAAACTTTGTTTAAGTAATTCTACTTATAAAATGAAAAAAAATTGTAGTATTAAAGAAGAACAGTTTCTTAGCTGAATCCAAATAGCAATGGATTTCTTTATTTTTTTAATTATGAAAGTAACAAAAGTCTTCACCTACCACACCAATCTACATCTTTGGAGATAACAACTACTTAACACAGAATTTTAAAAATGCCTATATATATTATACAGCATGTCCCAAAAGTTGTCACTGATTTTTTTATATGACTATAAAATTTTTCCTTTGTATGACTATAAAAGTTTATAATGAATATTTTGTAAATCAAGGTACATTTAGCCATAATTTCCCATTTTCCCTATGTATGGAGACTTTTGGGACACCCTGTATATTGTTTTAGAATTTGCTTCTGCTTTTTGCACATAGTATATTATGGACTGCTTTCTACATCCACACCTACATCCACTTCATTCTTCTTAATGGCTCCATAGCATCCTACCTTATGGATGCAAAAATCCTATTGATACACATTTAGGTTATTTACTGTTGTATAAATATTTGTATATGTGTATGTGTGCATATATAACTTAAAAAAAATCAATAGCATTCTAATATATAGTCACACTTGCTAGTGGGCCAATGTGGCCAGCTGTTTTTACAACTAAAGTTTTATAAGAATACAACCACACTAATTTGTTTATGTACTGTCTATGTCTGTTTTCACAACACAATGGCAGAGTTATAAATGGCAGTGACAGAGATCATATGGCCTGCAAAGTCTAAAATATTTACAAAAAGATCTAGTTCTTTATTAAAAAAAAAAAAAACAACCCTGCTGATCACTGGGTATCTGGCACTTTTAGCCAACATAAAGAGTTAATGACACATCTTAAGAGATTTCTTTCAATCACCAGTATGCTGGACCGTAAACTCCTAAAAGACAGGAATTATATCTTAATCATCTAAGTACTCCTACTCTAGTAAAATTTCTGGAATATAATGAATGTTTGCAAATTATTGTTGAAAAACCCTGAGAAATAAAAAAGCTTGAGAATTACAATGAATGGCAAACATATTTTTGAGCCATACAAGATCTATATATTTTTAAAAATTTTAAGTTGGCGATGTCACATCAAAATGTTGTCCTGATATTTTTATGTCCATTAATAACCAGAATTAAAAAGTACAAGTGAATGATTATCAAATCAGAACTGTATATTGACCATCATCTCTATTTGTGTAAAACGTACTACTAAATATTGCATTTTCAAAATTTTCAAACTTGTATGTGATACTTCTATGTAGTCTATATGCAAGTATATACATATCCCTAGAATCTGTGGGTTTATGACAATAATTTGTCTGTGTATTAGGTTTGTATATGAATAATTTCAGGATTCAGAACATTTAGTTACCTAAACACTTAAATTATGGCTATTTATTCAGCAAAAGTCAGGGCTGCAATTTCCTGAAAATATTTGATTTTGTTTTGCTATTACAAAGATGTTGGGTTTCCATTTTGTGTGTAGATGAACTTGCTTTTACTTTTACAATAGCTACTTCTTCATCATTAAGTTAAAGCTCACCAAAATACTACTGCTACTACTACTAATAATAATATATAAGGTACAAGACTCTTTTCCCTGTCTTTACTCAATTTTGCAACTAGATGATTACTATGTAGTATTAATTGTTAAAGTAACACTAAATTAATCAAAAGCATTACTCATTTTTGATGAAAACTTAATCATTATTATTTTTACCTTTCATCAAGATAGATTCTCAGTTTTTTCCAATTTAGTGTTCTTGTACAGAAGATAAACTTTGCTATTTCCTTTGGTGAATCATCTAGGATACCCTTGGACATAAAGTAGTTCACTCCCTAAGGCAGAAAGACAAGTCTACATAAATAAAATCACTATTTATAAATTTTAACAATTAGGCAATAGCAGAACAATAGCTATAAATTCTTTCCAGCATTAATAGCCTTTATGTAGCTTTATCATGCAAAATACAAGCTAGAACTTGAACAAAAACTATCATTTGTGGTTGACAGTTTACATGCAATGAAAAGTAGGAAATTCAAAGTTAAGACTCCTAAAGAAATCTTAATTTAATTTTTTGGCTCATGTCACATAAAACTAACTATACAGAAATGCAGCCTAATTGGGGGAGGACAGCTGTGGAAGAAATCACAATACAGACTTTAAAATAAGCCTTTGTAGCAAACATTTCCCCTGTCTAATAGAAAATATGATTTCTTAAAGTTCAGATGTACGTTGTAGTATACTTTAAGGAAATAACTGCTTAAGGAAAAAAAAATCCAAATAAAAGCCTAACAATTTTGTTCTGGAAAGAAAAATAATTAAATTATTTAACTTAAAGTGGCTCCAGGCTCGTTTATAGGTAGTACTACTCTGGCTGTAAGCATTGCTGCATTTCAAAAACCTAGTTACAATACCCACTGAGGGCAAAACATCATAAGACAAAACGATTTCAATGTGTTTCACAGGATTTATCTCTGAATTTCCTTTTCTCTGCATGCAAAGTTTTCCAGAGAAGCATTACCCATAAATTTGTACCTATTTTAGATTTAAACCACCAACAACAAAACATCAACAAAAAAAACAAATGCTGAGACCAGTGTTCTCTCACATATATGAAGGTCACATTCAAACAAATGTCTTAGGTGGATTTGAATGTGCAGTTATTGAAATAAAAGGCAGGTGTGTTTATTTCAACTTGCAGTTATCCAGATACATGCATTCCCATGAATGCTTATGTCTGGATACTAGCACATTGTGTGCAGCTAATTGGTAGAGAAAATGACGTATTATATACATGCAACACACTGTTTTCATACATAAATTCCTTTGGCATTTCTTTACTTTACAAACACATAGTACTCAGAAATACTGCACACATTAAGAATTTAAAAAGTTGAAAGAATTTCTATGAAAAACTCTTCAAGATAAAACTTTCTCATAAAATTTCTATATTAAAAAAAATTTAAAGTAATTTGTACTATAAGGTAATGCTTTTGAAAGGTTATAAATACCTATAAATTATAATTCAAAAATAAGACTTTTTATATAGAACTAACTTTATGAGCCATCAGGATAATATCCCAACAGCAACATTATCAAGTTTTCATGTGAATTTTAATAGAATAAAAGCAATGCTAATGCACTGATTTTAAAAATGTACATTAAGAAAAGCTGAGTTTAATAACATAAGCTTTCTTGTCAACTCAATTGTAAGCCATATTTCAGACTGACTTCTGTAGACAATGGCTAGCAAAGGTATGATCAAGAAGGAAAGCCAAAAAATTTGTTCGAAATCAGGCTCTCAGGAATTGTCTGAGGGGGCAGGAACTAGAGAAATATTAATGCTTGTTCTATCCTTTCCTCCATTCGTTTGAATAATCGAGAGTTGACTGTATATTTAATTGCTTAGCAAAAGTTAAGTCAGGCTTCATTGCTTCCAAGATTCTTCAGTTGAAAAGGATAATGTTTCAGAATTATTTCCAGTGTTTAATTGTAAATGAAATGATTTAAAGACAAAGGAATGCCAATTAAGTATCATTTAATAGATTTATTCATGCTTAAATCAATATTTAAGGGATGTAAAACTAATTCTAATCTATTTTTTAAAAATTATGCAAAATAAACCCACTAATATGATTCATCAAATGGAGTATAATTCTCTAATTATATGATTTATGCCATTTTAATATCATTTGATGCTACCTAGTTATAAATTAACATTAGTATTTACATCATGTAAGCATCATAAAAATATACTGTTGGCCATTTTCTCTTTCATGAAGCACACATTTTGAGAATTTAATATATTATCTGAGTTTTCCAAAATCAATTAAATATATAGGAGTTGGCACGTACACAAGTTTTAAGTCCAATCCTGAAAAATGGTACCACAGCTTGCAATAAGTTAACTCTGTTGGTTTTATGAGGAAAGGAGGCATTGATTTCAGGCCTGGGCTTCCTCTGGAAAGGAAGATTACTTTAGAAGGTCTACCTGAGTGAATGGTAAAGGAATGACAGATAGAAAAAGGCATGGGACCAGATTACAATTGTCTCTAATAAGCAAGCTGGCAATCATCTGAATTTCCGTCTTTTTATGTAACAATGAAATACAAAAATGTACCATGGCATAAGATCTGTTGAATAACTGTAAATTTGCTTAATAAGTGGTATAAGCATTTTTGTTTTTTAATTAAGTTTTAGGAGAATGGTACAGAGAGAGCCCTAGCCCACACAGCGTCTTAGTGATCAGTAAAGACTAGAATTTTCAGCAGTGTGTACATGCACACACACATCTGTGTGGGGTCTCACAGGCAATCATCAGTCTCTGGTGTTACAGACATAGGATCCTGGAAAAAAAGTTTGCAGCCCAGTATAGTCTACATGACTCACAACAAAAGGTTTCCAATTTTGGATGTCACATTTTATGAGGCATAGAATTCATATTATGTAAGAAAGAGTTGAAGGACATAGGGGTATTAGACCAAAGAAGAAGATATTTAGGCAAGAAGAAAAGATTAAGACTTTAAGACATCTGAAAGGTTGTGTCACAAGAAAAAAGGAATAAACCTTGTGAGTAGTTCTAGTGAAGATGTTAAGCTCCTTTTTGGGTCAAAGGCCCCTTTGAGTATGAAGAAAGCTATAGAACTTCTTCCCAGAACAATGCACATACACATTTAAAAACATATCAATCAACTGCCTGAAGCCCATCTCAGGACTGCAGGTTAGGAACCCCTATTCTGAAGAGTGTGGGAATGTAGTCAGTGAGCGTCAGTTACAGGCAGGCAGGTTACCACCCCATAAGGAAGGGCATGCTTATAACTATGGCTGAGTTGTTCAAGGACCAATAGTTTATCATTTGCTTGATTCAATTTTTCCCTCCATTTTCAAAATAAATTTAACCTTCAAACTTACTACTAACTACTTTAATTTGACTATTTTACCTATATAAATTTTAACTCCCTAATGTAAACTCTGTTCAACTTTTGGAATGATCTAAATTGTTGCAATTACGGTGTAATTCTTTTTTTTTTTCATGTGGGGAGAATTCTAAGCCATTTTTGTCTGATAACTCTCAGATAAGTCATGATGGTGTCAGTCCTATAAATGGGCTGGCTTCTCAGCACAAAAATAAGGTCTTGTGAGGTGAAAGGAAAACTATTACCCAAAATAGTTTTTATTGAAAAAAACAGTTTTAAAGGAAAAGTTACAATGGGGTAAATAAAACTCTTATAATGAAAATAGACATTAGGCCTCATATTTCTTTGGAAAAATGGTAAACTTGTAAGTAATGTTCATGCTACAAATTATCAATTTCTTGGTAATTTGATTTTTTAAAAAGTATCCATTTAATTTTATATGTACATATAAAGATGAATACCCAAAGACTAGTTTGTAAAATAGATACATGTATATCTGTAGATATTTACATATACACGTATCTGTTTTAAAAACTTTTAAAAAACATTAAATAAAAATATACATAAAATTGTCTACATCTTCATTTAAAAATATACTAAAACAAAGTACCATATTCAAGGTGTTCAGTGATAGACACTGAGTAGTATGAGATAGAATTTTACCCTAAGAAAATTTAAAGTTTATCTGTGGTGATGAGACAGGTACATGAATAACTAGATTCACACACATGTACAATGATACAAGGCAGTCAAGTAAGGGCTAAATGAATGAATATGAAAAATAAGCATTTAGGTAGCTCAATGAAAGGAAAAAACACTATGGGACAAAACATTTGGATGAGGTTTCCTGAAAGAGATTAGACTTGGAAGGAACAGAAGGGGGTTAGGTAGCTCTGAATGAGGGGAACACTGGCAAGCAATGTTGCAGTTAATACTGTATTATATGAGCAAAAGTCATAAAAGATTAAAAAACAGCCTATTTTCAAGAAAGAGGGGGAACTATCTTGGGTTTGAGAATAAGTCTGGAAGTAGACTGTGGTAGAAACAGTGCTGAATTTTAGGGTAAGAAGTCTATTCTCCAACCTATGTGTAACCGAAAGCCTCCAGAGGCTTTTTAACCTCATGAAGCAACGGCTTGCAATGTGAATGTGACAGTAATACAAAGAGGAATAATGGAAGAAAAAATAGATGGTGGGCTACTACAACTGTCCAGGTGTGAACACATGGAGACACACTAGAAATAGAAAGGAAATATATTCTAAAAACGTATTTAAAACACTTCATATACTACATGTATGAAAACTGGAAGTGAGCGCACTTGATAAACATGCCGGCTATCAAGCCAAGACAAGGAAAAGTGAAAGACAATTGATGTTTCCAGCTTAGATGAAGAGGAAAATGACTGACAAAAAAATGACTGACAGAGGAAAAAAAAGTTAGAGGATATTGATTTGAGGGAAACAATGAGTTTTGTCTTATAAATGTTGAATTTTTAGGTGATGACAGATACAGTAATACCTAGAAGGCATGGTAGGCAATTGGCAATGTAACAGGATATATAAAAAGTAAGGCTGAAGATATAGATTAAATATCTTGAATAAGAATGATCAATAAAGGTATAGGATAGAATAGAATAGGATAATGTCCCACAGGCCAAGAGCCTTTGACATTTAAAGAAAAATAGATGTATAATGAAATTACATAGTATAGTTGAAAAAGCATAATTTCCAGAAGAAGGACCAAACCATGGTTCTGCCACTTAATGGTGATGTGAACATAAACAATTCACTCAACCTTTCTGAACCTCAGTTTCCAAATCAATAAAAATCTTAGATGGCTATTGTGAAGATATGAAAGTGTCTAGCAAAGGGAACACGGTTCCTTTTTCTTTCAGGTAGCTCAAGGAGACTAAAATGAGA